TCTCACACCTGACAACACCCTGCACCACATCACACCCAGGCATCCAGACATCTGCACCTACACCACTGATATCACTGACATACACACTTCACCTTAAATAAATTAATAAAACTTTGTTACAATCTGACATCACCTGTGTCGTCTCCCCTCTTTTGGCCACAACCTATTTGCTGGGTTGTGACAACGGCTACTTTACCAACAGTAGAACACAAACATCCTGACAGCTGTGATGGAACTCAGGACTCACTAGTAGGATAGTTGCTATGTAACAATGATTTACCTTCAGTTATAGACTATGACTGTGTGACAGCTCACCTGCTGGTTTCTGATTGATCCTGTTTCCATGTCAGAGATAATTGATCATTTTAAGTTATGATGACGCTTTTGCTGCTGTCCAGCAGGCATACATGCATACAGGCAACTCTCTCTTTGGAAATGCTCATGTGGATCCTGATGCTGCAGGTATTGAATAAACTCAGAGGAAAAGCTCCTACAAACAGCTGGAAGCAACAAACTAAACTTCTGCTCTTGTTAATATTTTGTCAAAGTCTGAAATGTACTCAAATCTTGGTAATAGAAGAGAGTTCTCCTTCCTAATAAAAGTTGTTCTGTTGTCATTGCTCTAAAGTTTAATTTTCATGGACATTTCAGTTTGTTAAAGATGTGAAACTGTCAAGCAAAGTCAACCTGAAAGGTTTTTTGTGTTTCTGGCACCAAACTGTGTCTTTAACGCTCTGTTTTGCCTTCCCACTGTCACCAAAAAGCTGAAACAGAGAAAATCATTTGGCTTTTCTGGGTTTCTCACCGTAATGTATAGTCTTCACCTTACTATATGAAGTGCCTGGACATGTTACATGTTGTGAAGTGGCACGATATGAATAAAACTGAATTAAATACTGTTGCTGAAATGTAGAAGAATCCCCCACGTTGTACTGTCACCTGTGTGTGTGTGTGTGTGTTTGTTCCTACACACAGTTCAGACTTGTGATGTTTCCAATCAAGTAAGATTGCAGATGGAACTTTTACAAAAGGGTTTCATTCAGACATGAAACCAACAGCTGTGCTACATCAGTGGCTAAAGACTATTAACCACTGAAGACATTTTTGAAAGTTTTTATTCAGGAAACTGTAGAATGGTGAGCAAAAATGATTTACACATAGATTTCCATCTCAACGTCTTCATGACAAAACTTATCATTGTTTATAATAATAATAAGAAAATTGATCACAAGAATCAAGATTCTAATGTTGTTAATTTTGTTCATGTTACAATGAGCTTGGTCATGTTGTACAGAGATGGGGAAACCTGGACATCTATCAGCAGCACTTCATCAGTGAGGCTATTTGTGGCTACAGACAACCAAGCACACTCACATTCACACCTACGGACAATTTAGAATCACCAATTAACCTCAACATGTTTTTGGACCTTGTGGGAGGAAGCTGGAGAACCTGGAGAGAACAGAGAACATACAAACTCCACGCAGAAAGATCCCGAGTGTCTATCAAAATCTTATTTTATATTGAATATGGTTATACCGCAGATGGGTTTTGGCCTACACATCACATTCTACAGACTTAAGAAAACATTGTTATTTGCTGCAGATCCCCACAAAAATTATAATCATGTTTGCTTTTTAATTAAAATCAGAATGATGTACAAAAAAAAAATTATATGACAAATCACACCGCAATGGCAATATCAGTCAAAACAATCACAATTTGATACATTTTTAAAATTGTTCAGCCCTAGTTGAATCCAGACTATATTGTTTTGGCTTTTAACCAGTTGTCAAAGGAATGTGTTATGCACTTACTGCTTTACCCGATGTCTTTTGTTTTTTTGTGACTTTCCTTTGATGCAATGAATAACTTCTACCCTTACTCTGGAGGCACTGGATATTTAGCATGGCGCCTAAAGACCATGTCCAGGAATACAGAAAAACGACCAGCCAAGGCAGCCACAGTGGCTCAAGCACCAGGACCAAAGCGCCGGAGATTAGCAGCCACATTGCCTGAGCAGCTTGATGGAGATGCCTGCAGGGAAGCTATTTCATTTCTTGTTCATTGTCCTGATGAAGCAAGTGTGTTTCAGAAGATGAAGATGACCCTGCAACATCGCCAGGACCTCGTGCATGAGCCACAGAGAACCACAGATGTCTTTAAAACATTCCCACAGTTTTTAGATGTCAAAGGACTGGTGAGTTCTTTTTTTTTTTTTTTTAAACTCCATTGTTTTGTTTGGTTGTATGTAAGCAATGAACAACACACTGACCATTGGCTTGATGTATTTGCATGCGTGTATGTATGATCTTTCAAATTTCGTTGTACCCTGTGTATGATGACAATAAAAGCATTCTATTCTATCAACAGCTGAATCAAGA